TGGCAGTTAATTTGCATATCACCCTGATTAGCCAATGGGAAGTGTGTTGGAGCTATGGTTAATTACCATGTTTGTCTATTATTATATAGGATCATGCCAAAGGCAAATTTTCATTTGGCTTCTCAAATCTGCTTTTCCTATAGTTTTTTCAATCTTTCAAAATAAATATATAAATAAATAAATAAATAAATAGGCAACTCACGATAACTTGCTTTAAAAAACTTATATTTTGGATGTTAATAACTTTTAGTGCTCATACTAGACTTTACGGGGCTTTGCTATTCATAATTATTTTTTGAAAAGAATTTTTAATAATTTTTTAAAAGCAATTGATTTTTTATTGATCTATTTTCCAGATTTATGCATGATTTGATTATAAACTCTATCTCATGTAAATGTGTATTTTTATGACCATGGTGGGTTAGTTTGTGGAGTTTCTTCCCTCAGTGAGGGTCTGCATTCTAGAGCTTCCAATACTAAGCATTTATCTTTGTATGTTTACTTATTCTAGTCTCTTATGAAAGAAATGACTACTTAAAAAAATGACAGCTTCATTCTTCCAACTACTTAATCCAGAGACACTAGATTCATCTTTAACTTTTCTTTTTCATACCCCATATGCAAAATGTTAGAATATTTTGTTAGAGCTACCTTCAAAAGACGTTCAAATTCAATTACTTCTCACCAATTGCACCATATAACCACTCTGGTCCACCCACCATTGTGTCTCACATGGATTATAGCAGTGGCCTCCTCACTGGTCCCATTGCTTCCAGTCTTGGCTTTCATTTCAATCCTCCAGTCTTCCAGCTAGGATTTGAGCTGGCCCTGAAGCCCAGTGGCTTGGGTGGAGCCTTGATGCGCATCTGAACTTTGCCAGCTCCCTTTTCCACATACTGTTCTGGGACTTAAGTAGATGAGCGATGTTGCAAATTGATCTTTCTGGTTGAATACTGCTGCTGCCACCACCACCTATTTTCCTGTTGCCATAGTATCCTTCAGAGTTCCCCTCCTCCCATTTAACTACATAGTCTGAAGAATTATTTACTTAACATTGGGATCCTCTAGCTAGAGCAGAAGTTATAATCCTACCAATTCAGCTTTTCTTTTCTTCCCTAGTAGTCTTTATTGCTGAAGTTCTGGAATAATTTGTTCCTCATCATCTGAATTATAATAGTTTATTAGGAAATAAATAGTGCTTTCTTAATAACCAGAGACTTCTCTATTTCAGTGCTATACCCAGATACATCATTCCTAGTCAGATCCTTACCTGTGACTTAGAATTTTTCTATCTATTCTCAGAAATTACCTGCCTCATGTCCCTCTTCCTCCTAAAATAATCTGATAGATCAAATCTCCATCAATGTGCTAATGCTAATAGTTTAAAGTTATAATATTCTAAGATGTATTTGGGTTTTAACAGAGACTGATTTTCAATGCTATAATTTCAGAATTGCAGAGTCATTATATTGGCCTCCTAACTGGTTTCCAGTTTCTACATCGACACCTTCTGTTTTTCTCAATACAATTTACTAAAGTATTAATTAGATCATGTTATTCTGTTCAAAACTTCCTAAGTTTCATGTATTACACAGAGTAAAAGTCCACTTAATATGTTCTGCACAGTATATGTTCTCAGACTTTAGTTTAGCATGCTTATGAATCTTGTTAGAATGAAATTCACATTCAGAAGAGCTGAGATGAGACCTAAGAGTCTGCATTCCAACAAGTGATGTTGATGCAGGTAGCTCCCGGGACTATGCTGTAATAGAATTCTATATGATTTGCCTTCTCCCTACCACCTGGCCCTCTACCTCTCTGACTTTGTTACACTTCTGATATTATCCCTTATTCCTGAAGCTACACTGGCCTCTCTCATAGTTAGACTATCCAGACATGCCCCCACCTAGGACCTTTTCACTGGCTGATCCCTCTGTCTGGAAACACTTCAACTTCACCAAGATATCTCTCTTTCTCTCCCTCTCCCTCACTCCCTCTATTCCCCACCTGCTTCAAGTCTTTATTCCAGGGTCACTTTCTTAGTGAAGACTTCCTTTGTCATCTAATTTAATAAAACAGATCATCTTCTCCATGTCCCCGTCTCCTTCTCCTACTCTATTTTTCTCCTTAACACTTATCAGTACTGAAATGTAACATATTTTATTTATCTTATTTATTGTATGTTTTCTTCACTAAACTCTGTGAAGGCATTTTGTTTTCATTTATATTCACGCCAGTGACTAAAATAGTGGCTGACTCATAGTGGGTGCTCAATAAATAATTGTTTAATACATGCATTAAAAATTCAGTTATACTTTTCAAATCCCACTTTTTCTACTTATGCAAAACATCCTGGGAAGAAGAAAGCAAAAGCAAGTTTGTTTTAGTTTAATTAGGCTAGTTTGATTTAGGTGCATGTCTCCCAATAATAACAGATCAGAACTCATTTACTTAATCCTCACTTATATAGGTTTTTTTCAGTAAGAGCAGAATAAAGATGTTGGAAAGAATCTGGATCTACCTTCAAATAAGAGAAACTTAATGAGACTAGTAACACAATTAAGAACAAACAGAACCTGAGACATTAATTGGATATATAAAGTTATAATCAGATTGTGAGGATTGCTTTTCACAATGAGGCAGGCTTTCCTGGAAGACAGTTACTATATACTATATATATAAATTCCTGGCCAAGATACTGTAGAAGTTTGGTCTTCTGTGGAATATTGACTTCTGAGGTCCCTTCAGCCTGCACAAATTAGAAGTCAATGACAGAGGACAGGAAACTGCTATGTGAGATGTGCAATGCTAGTTGCTTGAGGAAGAAACCACAACCTCGTTTTATGTGTTCTTAATCTCATGAGCTCCCAGTGAGCTTTAGCAGTGAAAAAGTTATTGTTGGTTGGTTGGTTTTATTTTAATAGAAGCTGGGCACGACCTTGCAAACTACACCAAAATACATTTTGTTATTACTAGCGCTTCTCTGTCTAGTCAATTATCACCTGTCTGTGATTTTGGTTGAAAGAAATATATATTAAAGCAAATTTCACTTTGATGTTTTCCATTATGAATTCCAAAGGACATTCTTTAATACCCCTCTATAAATTAGAAAACTGGATAAATGTGGTGCCATAAATACTAATAAATACTGTGAGATTTGATTTGCCATTTTTAAACTCATAAGTCCTCTTTATTAGCAGACTATCAGGGAACAGAAATCGTTCTCTACTTCTTTTATTGCATTATCTTTTTTATTATGTTACAATTTTAAGTTAACCTTAGGACTACTAAATAATAATGTTTTGTAGTTGCAAAATTTATATTCATTCTCAAGAAAACAAATTTATTTTTAATAGTAGACAATTTGAAAAAAATCTATTTAGTATATTTATTGTGGGCTTGAATTCATTCATATACTATGAGTAACTAGTAAACCCTGAAATGCCTACTCTCCCTTCTCCTTCAGACAACATATAGATCCATTCACCCAAAATAGAAACACTTTGGGATCCATACCCGGGCCCTGGGAAATGGGGACTAATATAATAAGAGTGAAACAGTTGGAGGCAATTACTAATATTTCAAGGACATTCACTTCCTTAAAAGCAATGCTTGGAAAGAAATTTATGTCAGCATCACCAGTTTTTTAAGTAATGATGTCAATGTAGTGACTGCAAAAATTACTAGGCTGATTCTAGGGGACCACAGCAATAGCAGTAGCAGACAAATAACATCATTTGAAAAGGCACAGAATAAGGCTAAAATCTGTGGCAGAATAACATTTATAGTCATCAAAACATTCTCCAACATAGTATTATTGAGTTTGCTTTTGGACAAGGAACTCAGACATGGGATCCAAATTATTCTGTGTGGAAGATTACAGAGAAAAGTGTATACCACCATTGCTGCTGTTAGTGACATCCATTCATGTATTCACTCGCTCATTCATTCATTTGTTCATCCAATAATTTTTATTAACTATCAACCATTGTGATTTCTACTAGACTAGCCACTGGAACAATCTTAAGCAATAACCATGCAGTTCTCTCAAGGAGATTGATGAGGCCTGAGAAAGAAAGTGTTACTTTTGTGTGCATGTTTATAAACCACAGGCCAGAATAAAAATCAGCTTCCTGCTTTCAACAACAAAGACTGCTTCCTAAGCAACCCCCCTTTTTTTGTAAAATAACTTCTTAAGTGATAGCAATATAAAAACAAGATCTAAATATTTTCACTGTTGGAAAAAGAAATAGTCATTGGTAGGAATTTTGTTGACAAGATTAACTTTTACTCACAGATAGCTTCACATAATCATAAGTAAAGATAAGGGTTTCATCTAAAAACAAATGCAGAAAAGAAAATATTCTTAGGTGTTTGAAAGGATTGAATAACCTGAATGATATTTGGAATAGGATTTGTAAAAACATCTTCAGTCTCCATGTGTATAAGTCTCTGAGCCTGTTCTGAGCAAAATACCAGCTCCTGTTTTCTAGCTTTGGAATTCACTGGAAACAGATCCGATTAATCAGCGATTTTCAACATTTTTCATCTCATGGCACACAGAAGCTAATTACTAAAATTCTGCGGCACACCAAAAAATACATTTTCCCCCATCTAACAAAAAATAAGGTATGGTTCTAATTCATTCACCCTGGTTATCTATTGTCCATTTTTAAAAAAAAAATTAATTTTTTTTAACAATCCAAGGGAAATAAGGTCAGTGTCCCTGACTAAATAGTCAGGTATTGCATGTTTTAAAAAAATCTTGTGGCATACTGGTTGAAAATCGCTGCTTTAGACACACATACTACAGAGGTTTTGAATTCCCTCTACTGGTACACTGTCACTTCAAACTCTTCTTTAAATCAACAGAAGCTATAATGCAACTGAAAACTCATGTCAAAGTTAAAATAACTTAAAAAAAGAAGGCAATCCTAACTTACCAATTCTAATATGAAAGACAAAAGGGTAGACTATGAATGAAGAACTATAGCCAGTACCTTTTGAATGCCTGCTTGGGACTCCAGAACATTATTCTCTGATCCATTGCTTCGGTTGATCATCCGCCACATTTGGGAATACATGCTGTCCCTCTCAAAAGGATTCATTCCCTTCATACGCACATGCTCATACACTGCAGAGTCCAGGACCGTGCCGTAAGGAATGTCTGTCTGCTTGGAAAGGTCCTGGAGAGACCTTAATTATTAGGGGAGAAGAGAGACACAAGAAAGAGTACTGAGTATTTTCAAGTGGAAATAAAGTTAAAGGAAGCAAAGAGCAATATATGTGAATACAGATGCTAAATTGTTCTTCTTAGTTTGTTGTTTCTTAATATTAAAATAAAATATATAAGGAGGATTGCTGTTAAAATGTTAGGCACTATACAAATCATGAAAAGACAAAATTACTTCTGAAAGAAAGTTGAACATTTCTAGTGGTAAAGCAATGGTTTTTTGTGTGTGAGCCTGCACAACAAAATAATAAAATCTAGCAATCCGTTCAAAGCAAAGAAATATGAAATTAGATTGCTAGATAATCATTGCATATAGATTGCATATAATCATTGAATTTTTTTAAATCAATATATTTTAAAGCCTTAAGCCTATGTTCTTTTAAGTGATAAGGGTTAAATAATTTTTATAAAATTACTAGTGGCTCGGTGCATAAATTTGTGCACATTGAAAGGGAAGAAATTAGAAGAAATATTTTAACATTGCCATTTGCCCTTTCTCTTAAAATAGAAGTGTCAACCAAATTCATGATCGACAATAACAGATCAAAACACATGTATGTGATTGGTGCCAGCGAGAACTTTATATACATAGGTAAACTTGCTTAATTAGACCTGCTTTCTGATTTAGATAAACTTTTCCCAGCCCAGTGAAGCAACCTAACTTCTCTTTCGGGTAATTGTCAGCAACACAGCAGTAAATATCAACATGAAGCAGATTATTATTGTAGATCATGCAGGGAGAACAAAGAGTAAAATATTTAACTGTAGCAGTGTTTGACCATATTCTGAGCAGTGAGTACACCTGAAGTCATTTTCCAGGTCCACCATTTTTTACTTATTTTCAGTAGGGTCAAGTTTCTAAGCTTTCTAAATCTCTGTTTTCTGGCTAATTAAAAAAAAAAAAAAAGGATTTCACTGAGTCTCCTATCTACCTAGTCCAGGACTTCTGTGAGGATCAAATGAGATGAGACATGGGAAAACACTTCACAGATGTTTGCTTAAAGTGTAAAATGTTTCCACCTGGCTATAAAGCAAGTTGTGTTCCTGGGCTGAGAAATTCCAAGGAGGCTAGTTGCTAGGAAGAGGAAGCTGGGTATTGCTACGTGACATCATTACCCGGTGCCCACAGCTAACGTTTCCAGGCTTGGTTGGGCTGGACTGTGGGCCGCATTTTGTGCCATGGGGTCTTGGCAGTGTAAGCTGCGATTTGGTGGGCTGTTGCTCTGGGGTGGTGGCGGGGTCTGTGTCCCACTTGGGGGAAGCTGAGTGTTGCTTTGTGGGTGCCAGGTCCGTGGTGCCATTTCTCTGTAAATGGCCAGTGTGCATCAAGGAAGCTCCTGTGTTGAGCATCTGCCCCCTGGTGGTCAGTGCACATCATAGTGACTGGTGGGATGGTCAGACACTTAGCATATTAGCTTTTTATATATATAGATTACATTGTGCACAAACAACATGTTTTAAGGTCAAATGTATACTTAAAAATTAGTTTCTTTGATAGTCATTACTTACTAAATGGCTACTGTATACATCCCCAAGCAATTGACATACATTATACTCACACCAATGCCTCATGTTCAGAACTATTTTACCCATTTTACAGATGAGGAAACTTAAGTTGTGAGAATAAAGGACTTGCTCAAAGTGGCATATTTCAGTGAAAGATAGAGATAGGATTCAAATGTAGACCTGACTGGCGCCAAAGGCCATAGCATTTCTACTTCAAGATTCTGATTCTTATTTCTATATTTATTTTGCTATCTTATTGGTGTTAAGTGTGTGTGTGATAGAGAGAAAGAGAGACACATACACACAGAGGCTTCTATTTATATTCAAATGGAACAAAGTCCATGCTTCTGAAAAGCTAAGTATGTTCTTAGCTTTCCTTTTTACAGAACATGCACAATGCTCCAGGATTTTCAAATCAGATGGTATCTACTTTCCAGAGTTATCTCTAAATTGATGATCAACTTCCTCACATTTGAGTTTCAGAGCCACTCTATACTTTCTTAGAGAACCAATTACCATGCTTCTGGAATTCACTGAATGTGTATAGGTGCCCTAGGTGCCCAACTCTAATGACTGCCATTTAAGAAAGAACATGTGTCTTTGGCACACTGCTCAAAATTAGGCACTGGCATGTTTCAGGCTCACTAACTTCTGACAATGGGAGCACTATACCACATTTTGAACAAGAATAAATACCCGCAGCTCTCCAACCATGAGCTATGAATCTCATGTTATGTATACCTCTGACCTTTGGGTCTGTTTCTAGATGGAGTTTGCTAATGATTTCCTAGGGGTCTTTGCAACCAACAACAACCAGCATTGGGCAAGGGTATTGGGAATACTCTTGCAGGTCACCAGTTTCCATCATGTACAAAATTGTGTTGCAAACAATCAATTATGTGCTGTGTTTGTTAGAGTATTTATACCAATTTCTAATAGTAACATCTAGCAAAATTTAATTTGCATTTTACTGTGTGGTGTGTTTTTTTTATGTTGTTGCTGTATATCCTTTACTCTATGAAACTACTACTGTAATTCCTTTTGGTTTCACACTGTTGCTGCATAAAACAGTGCATGTAAAAACTGCTTTTGAAGGGGCTAATTTTCTAAAATAATCTATAACTATTGATATTATTATCCAATTTATAAAAAATAAAATGACAGTATAAATGAACAATTGAAGGCAAAAGAAGAAATATAAGTGAGCTACCTGTAGCTAGTGTACAACTCTCTCTCTCTCTCCCCCTGTCCTTTCTCGCTCTAAAATCAATAAATAAAATTAAACACACACACACACACACACACACACACACACACACACACACACACACCATGACTGGCCACTAGCTGCTTGGTGGTTTCAGCAGTCACTCTTGATTATAACTCTCAGGCTTCAATTTGATCATGCTGAGATCATAGTCTAGGGGTGAAAATTTTTTATGCTGATGTTTAAATATATAACTGGTTTGCCCAAATTCTCATAATCTATATATATAAAAGACTAAGTGACCATCCAACCATCCGACCGGCCGGTAGGTATGATGCACACTGACCACCAGGGGGGAAGTCGCTCAATGTAGGAGCTGCCAAGCTGCAGTGACTTGGCAGCAGCAGTTCTCAGGTGACACACCCTGGAACTAGAGAGGAAGGAGCCCGATTCCAGGGTGCGTCACCCGAGAACCACCCTCTTGCAATCCAGAACCCCTCAGGGGATGTCAGAGAGGTGGTTTTGGCCAGATCCCCACAGGCTAGGCTGAGGGACCCCACGTGCTGGAGGGACCCTGCTCACTCTCCAGATGCCCTTTGAGCCATGGTGCCGCCCCAGGTGTGGCCAGCCTGCCAGGAGGGACAGTGGGAGTTTGGCTCCAGGGTGTGTCCAGCCCATCTTGCCCAGTCCCACCCCTCTGGCCACCTTCTAATTAATTACCTTTCAATGTGCACGAATCAGTGCACTGGGGCACTAGTTGTTAAATAAATTAACACTCCTCTTAGCTTTCCATGAAAAAACTTGAAATCAAATGTTGGGATTTTTAATACAATCAGTGTTTCTTAATAACATAGCATCACCTTAAATACTAGTTTTACAACTTTAATGTATAATACTCTTATAATACATTACCAGCAAAGAGTTTAGCTGGTAAAACTGCTTTGTACACAATAAATTTTTAAAGGAATATCTTAATATGTTGCCTATGCAGAGAGCTTGATTCCAAAGAAGGAAGTTTATTTTCCAATTTGGAATAGCAGGGCATTTTGTAATTTAGAACAAAGGCATGTTCCCTCTAGCTTCATTTCTGATATCAAGTCAGCTTGCAAATTTGCCTTGAGATATACTTGCAATAAAAATTATAGGTTGTCTGATTCAGTGTCATTTCATTATAGTACACCAAGATAGCAACAAAGGTGACAAATATAAAATGAAGCAAAATGAAGTGAGCTCAAATAGCTTATTACAGAAAGAAAAGACTGTTTTAGGAGCCCAACACGAGAGGGCCTATTTTAAGTGGTCATTTTGCATTTTCATGCTAATAAGATTTTAGAACAAGATCAGCAGAAATGTTACGGCCTTATGACCCTGAAAGAAATCTAGTGGGTTATTCTAGGAGTGGTAATCCTCAGAAATTATATCTGAAGGTCAACATCTGAGTGTATATTATTTAGACATGCCAAGTCATTGTTTTAAAATGCAAAACAATTCTAAGATGATTAATAAGTACCTAACATATAAATTAATTTATCATAGTAAATTCTGACATTTCCTTTTAAACAACTGGCAATGTTTACCCAGCCATAGAAGAAATGGGAGAATCTAGAGCATTCTAGAAAAGAGTCAACTGTGGATATACTCATACTAGACAATTCCATTTCTCCACCTAACCACACAAATCCAAAATATACTCACATAAAACTCAGTGAACTACATTATTCTTTGCATCTATTGAATCTGAACACCCCTCTCCGAAACCTACATTCCCAGTCATGCACATAAAGTGAAAAATGGATGTTTCTGGCTATACATGGTGAAGGATAAAAGAAAGCAAATGCTTTGCCACTCTAATCAGCCTCATTTTCTCATTTTACTGAAATTCTTCTTTTATCCCTCTTAGTGGTGTCCTATATGACTAGCAGCCTGCGTACTAAGCAATACTGAGAGGTGATAGGTAGGTGACATTTGTGTGAACACTACATATAATGAGACACTGTGCAAGTCAGGGCACTTCTGTGAAAGTAAATTTTAGGAATTTGAGTGGATCTAAGCTGATTACAAACTCTTTACATAACAAACTCTTTCTACTTAAAACCTGTTAAGCATTGAAAATTATGATAGCCATTCTGGCAGGTGTGAGGTGATATCTCATTGTCATTTTTATTTGCATCTTTCAGATGATTAGTGATTTTGAACATTTTTTTTTTCATATGTCTCTTGGCCTTCTGTATATCCCCTTTGGAGAAGTAT